TATATGGTGTATTTTTATTCGTTTTGTTAATAAAAGTTCTGAGTTTGACGTTGTTGTTGCTTGAATTGAATCAACGCTGAATTGCCCCTAATTTGAAAGTGAAAGTAAAACGCGCACGGCGCTTTTTCAAGCTATTTGAAAGCCAAGAAATCCGAGGAAAAGAGGGAAAACTCAAACGAACAATTGCTTGACGCCGAATTGCGGCAGTTGCCGCTAATTTGAAAGTGAAAGTAAAATTCGCACAGCACTTTTACAAGCCATTTGAAAGCGAAGAAAAAAGGGAAACCCAAACGAACTAACCACCCCCTCCAACCCCAACGGTGATACCGGTATTACCGGTGTTGTCACTCGTCGATTAACCGGTGGGAAAATTTCCTCACCGTCACAACCCTAATTCTAACTGCATTCCAATAGGCTTCATCACACAGTGAATGCTTTTGGACCGATGTGTTTTTGTTTGTTTTTTGCAAAGTGAGTGACATACTCGATAATGTCAGCTCGCACATCGTTAAAACAACAATTACGATATAATCGTAGATGATAAATATCGCACACCCCTACATCTTCAAAACCAATCTGCTTTCTATGGGATAACGCGGCAAATCGTTCAATGATTAACAAATATGAACCAAATTTGAAATCCACATGATGAAATTTTTGGCAAAATTGATAATTACCAAATTTTGCCACCAGAAGACCCTCACAATTATCAATTTCACAGAAAAACGTGCGATGTGGCTTTCCACTTGTGTTCAGTTCTGTTGAATGGGGTTCAATTGGTTGAAATTCTCGATTTCACCATGCAAAGGAAAACGACACTGCACCTTTAGGGGTAATTTGCACATTTACACAATTTTTAAAGCACTAGCCAATGTACTGTAAACTGCTGTGGTAAGAATAATGACATTTCAGCAGAATTGGTATTGACTACTGAAATCTTGCTATCCTCACAACCCTACTACTACATAAAACACACTTGCACATGCCATGGGTGAGGATTCGGTCTTAATCTACCGAAAGATGAACGGCTCTACTGTAATAACGGCAACTTTATTACTTTGACTGTTTATTCATAAACCTGTGCACAGTATATCAGGCAAAAACTTCACTTTGTGTACTTTAGATCATTTCTAAAGCTCAAACCCTGAGGAGAGGAGAGTAGGGAAGGATATTCTGTTTCAACATGATTTTGTTTCTTGGTTTCAGCTTTCATCAGTGTGCTGCAAAGCCTCATGTTGCTCTAAACAATGAATATTTTCTGACTGGCCCTGTACAGTGTGCGATGGCCTGGGGTTTGTGGGTCATTAATGTTTGGAGTACCTTCTGTTGAATAGTTGAGTGTTTCATCTCCATATCCTTCCTTTCTTTTGTGGAGTCCATCACCAGCTGATCCAGCTGAAAGACAGACATGAAAACGGCTTACAGATGTTTGCATGCGTGAAGACAGGAAGAGAAATCTGGAGTCAGAGTCATTTGGAAGCAGGTGCATATTCCATTTTAAAAATTCTGCTTTATTTAAAAAAAATTATTAATTAATTAAAGGCAAAGAACGTTTTCAAGACTGCTAGCGAGACGCCGTCTTTACCCAACAGTACCGAACTTTATAAAACTGGAATAACTAAAGGCATTGCTGCCAATGAAAAACCACTTCAAACACAAAGTCATGTGATCTGAAGATGGTCTGGTTTCCTACATCTGGACGGAAAACCACTCTTGCCTCATTATTTTCCCATATCCCACGATGATGATGGACCATAATACACTGCTTCACCAACACTACACACTTCTAAACAAATTCGAGCGCTTTTAACAGTAAAACTCATTTCTGATCACCAAATCCAAACTTATTTATGGGAATATTCCACTACAGTGAAGGACTTCGTCAATCCAACTGTTAAACTGTGGATTATTACCAAGTTTAGGTCTTTAATATTGATATATAAATGGATGTTATCATGATCCAGTAGATGAAGTACCTCTAGAACCGACGTGTGAAATGAAACTGGTGATTTCACAATCTATTTCCATATAAATTCCCATTGCATATAGACATCCATTCACTTTCTATTCAACAACCTCATCAGATCATGCTTTATTAAATAGAAAAACCCGTCAAGACTGCAACAGTTGGTCTCAAGATGACTTAAAATTATTTAAAACAAGACAAGCATTAAAACAGCTCAACGTCAAGATATTTCTCATTTTAATTTATCCGCTCAACAACTGCCGATTCCTTTTAAAGAACCAGGAATCTTGGAAAACCTGGAAAAATGAGAAAGTGTAATTTTAAAAGTGTGATTTCTAGACCTGGAAAAGCCATGTAATAAAATGTGCATTTTCATAATTAAATTACATTTTTATGGTTAAGCTAAGCTCTATTTCATCAGGCAGAAACTGTGAGAAAATTAAGAGGCTCATAGTCACAATCAGGAACACTGATTGTCATCATTAGGACGTGTTCAAATTACTTAAGATTTTATATCAGCTTTTTTTATCAACTTTTAGTAACTAGTATTTAAGGGCCTATTCAAATCACTAACCCTATGCAAAACCAATAATACTAGTGAAACTTGCCTTAGAATACACCACTTATGTTTCTTTTCTATAGGGGAAGTTGAGGAAAGGAACTGTAATAGACTCTCTTTACACTGTATTTGTTCAGATACAGAGAGCGATCATCCATCACCTCGTATCATGCATGGAAACAAGTCACATAAAAGCACACGTGAGGTATTTGGGTCGAGCGCTTTGTTTTGATCCGCCAGGAAAGAGGCGGGCAGATGCTCGGCTGATAATATCTGATGGGAAATGTTTTTCTCTGTCGCGGTTACAACCTCAAGTTTCCACTCTCGAGAGGTGCTTGACAAAGACTGACCACCTGACAAAACCTGTGAGCATGAATCAATCATGAGCTGCATTAATATGACTAAAAGTTACAACTATGATACTGCTATTTTTGGACAAGCTTTTTCAGTACAGCACAGACAGATTATAAAAAAGTAAGAAACACTTACGAAGCACCTATACATTTTAGAAAAGTATGAATTACTTTACAAAACTATTTCATTTTATTTTAATATTATTATTTATTCGATTTTTTCATTCATTTTGTTTATTTATGGTCACTATATAGCTAATACCCATACTGTGTTATTTCATAGACAGTTATTCTGAAATGTCAAAAATAATTTAAAATAAGCAGTCAAAACTAAAATGAAAATATCAAAGTATCATAAGCAGTCCATGATGAACAGAAACACAGACCTGCGAGCAGCTCCTCCAAACCTCTCGACATAATTGCTCCACTCTTTTGAGCTTCATAATGTCCAACAGACAGCGGAAAA